GTTTGATAAGGTGCCTATTCAATAGGCTTCATCGTATTTGTACAAATGATACCATTGATGATGATGTTAAGTTGTCAAATAAAACATAAATGGAAAATGGCTATCCTTTGAAATTCATAAATAGATGGAAAGTGACCCAATAAGAGCAGAGGATAAACATCCATCATCCTCTATTGCTAAACATATATTTCAAACAGGCCATACGACTGATCTAAACTCGGCTCTTGTGGTGTTGTATAAAAGTGTAAATGGGCGTATACTAAGGTTTATTGAAGCCTTAGCCATAGGAAATTCAAACCCCCTTTTTGTGTTCAAAAACAGTTTGTTCTTACCTTAAACCTACCCTGGTCATATTGACCAATTACGCAGAGTGACTAGGTTTCGAATTGTGCTCACATTATCATTACTCCTATTATTAACCTTATCTCCTCTTACCCCATTTCCAGTCTAGTTGACCTTTTATTTATATATATAGATGCTCTTAACAAGTATATGTGTGATCAGATTGTTCGAAATGTATTGTTCTAATATATCATCACATTATTCTCACAATCTTTGTCTTCTTCTTACATTATTAAAACTTATCAAAAGGACTCATTGCTTTAAAGTTCTTATCAGTCTCAAGCGGTCACAATCTATAAAGAATTCCAAGGTCGGAATCATAAAAATAGACGAAATAATACACAGATTCAAAATAACAAAAGGTGAAAACAATAATGTTACACTAAGTAGCAAAGGTGAATATAGATTAACATGTAAAAAAGCTATAGTTTCATCGAGTATTAGTAGTGGTGCCATAAATAATAATACTAACAATGAAGTGACTAATTATGACTCAAACAATAGAATTATAACAAGATTATTTCAATGCTTAAAAGCTGGTTAATAAATAGAAACTAGTATTGTATAAAGGTGAATTTATTTATGAAGGAGTCTACGTTTAATCACTAGTTCACAGATTTCATTTCAATTTCATCTATTTCGGTCTAACCTGATAGATAGTATCATTAGCTTCTGAAAATGAAATACATATTCAATTAGAGAACAGAAGTGTGATTGGCGAAGGTATTAGTGAAGATAAGTGTTAATCATACTTCTCTTCCATAAATAAAACTCTAGTTGAACAGATATGTATTATATGATGATAAAAATTATGTTATATAACCATTCTAGTGTTTTACATGTTCAATCACTGATAATATAATTCTAGTTATTGAAGAGGGAAGTTTGGAAGTAGTTAAACCGAAATAACATTGGCATTGATGAATAAGGTCAATGAATGTTAGTTGAAACTATTTTAAGTGTCATAAATCTTCTACTAGAAGTTCTAATGATCAGAAACTTTCGACAACATAGTTCAAAGATATTTGAAACAGTACCAATATAAACATTATGTTCCGTCTTTGAATCTTAAGTTTCTGTTATGGATGCAGAATAATATACCAATCATTATCATGTTAAGTCTAATGATGTCCTTGGACTCTAAATGGGCACTCCCTATTGACCATTGTTTATTTCACTTGTTAAATATTGTGTAAATGTTGTTTTCTATTTTTATGGTACGATGTGGTCTGTTTGGTTAGTATATAAACAGAGTATGTTTGGAATATAATGATTCATAACTCAGAGGCTGTGACTTGCGTTCTTGACTCAACTGGCTGGGCTAGATAGGGAAGCGGGGCCAATCAGAACCCTAGGCCGTCCATTTCGTGCTAACCGTGTCACCGAATCGATCAATAAGACGCTGCTTATCAAAATCTGCAGACACCCATTACAACAGTTTCTTCATTATTTGATAGAGCTTTTTCAATTCTTTGTTTTTATTATTTTAAGTATTCAATTATATTTAATACTACTAACATATCAACTTCTCTAGTTTTAATTTTTTTAATTTTCTCTTATCAAATTCATGCAAGTTATGATAATTTGTATTGATTTTATATTTATCGGATGATCTTATGTTATTTATAACCAACCAATCAGCTTTGTACAATGGAAGATGGTCGCGCAAATTCGTGGATTGGTTGAGTTTAGACATCAACACCATTGGATGCCGGCTAGCAAGTTAAGTGTTCACGCGCGAGACTGAAGGACCTGGGTTCGAATCCCACGAGAGGGATCGTGGATGCGCACTTCTGAGGAGTCCCACAGTAGGACGAAACGGCCGTCCAGTGCTTCCAGGTTTTCAGTGGTGGTCTGACATCAATCGGTTCATGATTTCAATACAAAAATTAGCTTTGTTTCGGTTTTCTGATATCCGTCTAATCATTTAATGATAATCTCTAATCACAGAATAAAATGTTCGGACTTATATAATGAAATATCTGGATTGTAGGTCATATCAGTGATCCGATATTGTATTGAAATATATTCTCTTATTTCAATGTGTTTATTCATTTACATTAATCTTTCTTTTTAAATATAAATAATGTAAAACAGAATTTTAACTCATAGTTTTCAATACTACTTAATAGAAATTCTTTTAAAAGTTTGTATTACATTTTTCCAAGTCAAATTTAAGGATAAGCCATTTATACATTTGTCAATTAAATATACATTTGTCTGAGGAAAATTCACGGATGAACTCGAAGAAGTCCTAAAAAGCTCAGAAAGAACCGAATATATTCTATCTTTAGATATAACAATTTGTAATACAATTCAACTTCAATAATGATATTCTGTCATAGTAGTGATCATTGTTATATCAATGTTTATACCCATAGATTGCTAAAATCACTCAAAGTCTAACACAATAAATCCTGAATCTCACTACATGATGTAATCTATTACTTATTGTCTTTATGTACTGACATTATATCTAGATTTCGTGGATTGGTTGAAGTTAGACATTAACATTGTTGGATGCCGGATCAGTGTTCTAGAGGTTAAGCGTTCGCGAGCGAGATCGATAGATCCTGGGTTCGAATCACACGGGAGGGATCATGTTTGAACGATACGAACTTCTAGTGCTTTCAGGTTTTTCTTGATGGTCTAGCTTTAATTGACTCGTCAATTCACCTCTTAAAATATCTAGATATGTTGACTGTGAGCTTCTTTTTAAACATTTAAAATACTGGTCAGAATATTATATCGTAATAGATGATAAAATTTTATGCGTTATATAATTTAATATTTTAATAGACGGACGTTTCCATTCAAATCCAGGAATTTATCATTTTTAGCTAAAAGAGAAATGAAGGTCACCTAATGGTCTCGGCATACTTACGACACATATCTAACTAATCTTACTTGTTTAATTCGTGAATATTGAGGAAATTGAAAAATTTTACGGAAACATCTTTCGATAAACATCAGTAAACTATCCATTATAATTTATCACCCTTTGAATCTATGATAAATAAGAATGAACAGTGTTCGATATGTTAAAACGAATATCGTTAGCTACTTATTGATGAATTTCATATTGAGATGTAAAAAATCTCAAAACCACATTAAATAAATCATAATCTATTTCAGAATGGAATGCATAGCAGATATAATGATTAATATACAGTAATATTGTAAGTGTTAGAATGATAGAAACTTGTGAATATAGCATGTTCAGAGAGGGATTTTGTAGAGATTGTAGTAATTTAATTATTGAATTCGTGAGTCATTTTGCTATTAATTGTCAGTTGAAGCTAGATTACCATGGAAAAACTTGAAGCACTGGACAGTCCTTTAATCCTAGTATAGGACTCTTCAGCAGTGGGCATTCACGATCCCACCTCACGCGATTCAAACCCAGAACCTATCGGTCTTGAGCGCGAACGCCCAACCTCTAGACCACTAATCTGGCATCCAACAGTGTTAATGTCTAACTTCAACCAATCTGATAATAATCAACTGCTCACTAGTGACTGACTTCAGGAAAAACTCCCGAAGTTCTGGTGAGAAGCCGTTACCAGTGGAGTTCAACCAGGTCTGTTGTGAGATAGGAACTCACTGAAGACAATGGTGTACGGTGGCGCAACTTCGTGGATTAGTTGAAGTTAGACATTAACACCGTTGGATGCCGGCTCAGTGATCTAGTGGTTAAGTGCTCGCGCGCGAAGCCAGTAGGTCCTGGGTTCGAGCCCCGCGTGGTGCGGGATCGTGGATGTGCACTGCTGAGGAGTCCCATACCAGGACAAAACGGCCGTCCAGTGCTTCCAGGTTTTCCATGGTGGTCTAGCTTCAACTGACTCATGATTTCAATCTGTGAAATTTCTAAAATCTCCACAAAACCCATTCTGATAATATAATATATATTAACCATATTAACTTAATTCTTTATTAAAAGTTCTACTATTTTTCATTAACCCTTCTAATTAATATTATTTGGTAATAATAATAATTTCTCTTAAATAATATAAATAACTTCATGAATACATTAGTCTGGATGAACACAATCGATCAATTCATATGTTGTTTCGTGCTTTCTATTTTCGTTTTAATTTCTCTAGTTGTAGTTAATTATCATTAATTCGATCTGGCACACGAAATGATCTCAATTACTCCGTTCATAAATCAACGAGCAGTCCATTTAAGAAATATTAAAAATTCCTGGCTGATGCATTGGATCGCTGTAATACATATACTATTGAAACAATTCTGAAGTAGTATATATATATATATACGAACTTATCAGTATGTTTTAATCAATTCATTTCTAACTGTTATGGATTGAAAGGAGAGAAAAAAGAAAACAAAAAAGAAAAGAAAAAAGAGAAAAACATTTAAAACCTAAAAAAACTTTAAAAATCACTGCCAACAAACATTTTGTTTAGTATGTTAAATTTTCTAAATTACAAATCATTTCCGTAATTATTTAACACCCACTTTGTTTGTTTGTTTATTTGTTTGTTTTAATCATTATTATTTCCTGTTTTTCTTTTGTTATTTTCTTCCCCTAATAGAGTATCAACTAAAATCAAAAAGATACTGATAATAGAAAACAAAAAAGAAAGTAATGTAATTGAATAAAAGTGATATTCAATATTTACTTATCATTGATTACAATGGAAACATTTATTTGTCCAAGTGATAGACAATTAGCATTACGTGCAAGGTACGTTCATTATATATTCATTATTGAATTAACAAAACAACAATGAATTATTTATGAATGTTTGTGATAACTGTGATATATATATATATATATATCAGAAGGGGTTTGTGGAGTTTTTGGAAATATAGGTCCTGGGTTCGAATTTCGCCGGGTGCGGGATGGTGGATGTGCACTGCTGAGGAGTCCTATACTAGGACGAAAGAGCCGTCCAGTGCTTCCAGGTTTTCCATGATGATCTAGCTTCAATTGACTCATGATTTCAATCTATGAAATTTCTAAAAACTCCACAAAACCCTTCTGAGAGAGAGAGAGAGTTACAGTTCATCTCTTCATGTTCCTAATATTTGTAGTCATTCTGACCTTATCTTCTTTACATTTAATACCCATCGTTTTCTACATATTTCATTAAAATGTATCAATTAGGTTGATGAACAAAAATGAAGACTTCACTAAGTTATATTAGTTAAACTAACAAGTATTTATGTAGAATGAATAGTTTAATGGAAAATAGATGAATCTTTTTGAAGCAATAAGATGCATATATCCCAATAAGAGATTGATCAATTACAATTCTAAACATCAATGAGAAGATTCGAACAAACAACTTAAAAATGAATTAATACTTTAACACATTACACAATCTAGTGGGTATTTTTGACTCAGTAGGTAAGTGGATAACGTGATAGCATGTGAAACAAACGATAGAGGGTTCGAGTTTCGGAGTGAACATCAGCTCTAGAATGTAGGTACATCCAGATGACGAGTCCCAAATAGAATAAAATGTGCGTCCTGAAATTAACTACTGGATACCATTCATTTTGCCTTACAATATCAAAATGAACACCAGAATATTGAACAACCCATGCTTTGATTCTGAACTAGGATGTTATGTTAGGTTAGGTTTTAATCCGGATAGTCTTTCACTTGTCGACGCATAAATCAAAGTTATTTCGATGAAAAACGATTTAAATAACTTGATGTTGAGCTTTCTAAGCTTTTAAACTATGGCTTTTTATGATAACTACTTATAGTTAATATTTCAAGACACTGTAATAGTTTCAAAACTCTTTCAATACACCAAACTTTACTATAAAGGAAATTTCGTGTATATTTTTGTTTTTATGATTATGTTGCAACTTTTAACAATATTAATTACTTACGTAATTTCGATAATGTAATTAGATGAAGATTATCAGAACAATATGACGGTATATTTGCGCAATACATTTCGAACAATCTGATTACACACATAATGTACTTGGTAAGAACATTTATATATAAAAATAAAAAGTCAGCTAGACTAGAAAAGGAGGGTAAGAGGAGACAAGGATATCCAGAGTGATTAGGTTTCAAATTGTGTTCACATTATTATTATTATTATTACTCTGATTATTATCATCCTTGTCTTCTCTTACCCCATTTCCAGTCTAGTCCACCATTTATTTTTATATATAAATGTTCTTACCAAGTACATTATGTGTGTGATCAGATTGTACGAAATGTATTGAGCTAATATATCATCACATTGTTCTCATAATCTTCGTTTTCTTATTACATTATCAAAACTTATCAAAGGGACTAATTGCTTTAAATTTACGTAATATTAGAAGGGGTTTTGTGGAGATTGTAGTAATTTTTAAACAGTTGAGATCATGGTTGATTAGTATCACTAGTGACTGGCTTCAAGATATATATCCTGGAGTTCTAGTGAGAAGAAGTGACCAGCGGAATTTAACCGGGTCAGTTGTGACGTAGTAACTCACTGATGGCAATGGCGGATGTATCGCTCAATTTCGTGGATTAGTTGAAGTTAGACATTAATACCGTTGGATGCCGGCTCAGTGGTCTAGTTGATCAAGCGCCTGGCGTGAGACCGATAGGTCCTGGGTTCAAATACCGCAAGGCGGGGTCGTGGGTGCGCACTGCTGAGGAGTCCCACAACAGTATGAAATGGCTGTCCAGTGCTTTCAGATTTCCCATGGTGTTCTAGCTTCAATTGACTCATGATCTCAACTGTTTAAAAATTACGTAATATTGAATAAAACATCCATCAACCATCCTACTTGTTATCCTAAGGGTAAACAGAAAAAATAATAAATACAACTATAAATTAGAAGAAAAAAACAATCATGAATTATAATAAGTGAGAACATAATTTTGAACCACTTTTTTTAGCCAATTTCACAATAGTCTAGTAGCATAAACCTAATTATCGCATTACATAAACCCATATAAGTAATAGAATTTATTTTGTCGATTGATTTACTGATGGATGATTTGGCAAAATACACGGATTATTTAATTAAGCTAATAAGGGAATTTACATGGGAAATTTGATTAATTAATAACGAATGCAGTATGCTTACAATTTATTGCTAAATCAAATGAGAGTGGGCGTATATTGTCTATTTTGATTCACTTGGTATTGTTGAGTTGAATCTTCCTATTTATGTTTAGTTACTGCAATTGATCAGTCTCTTATTGGCATATGTGCATATTGTCTCGACATTGTCTGAATTCATAGGCATTATAAAACTTAGTAGATAAGTGAATAACGTCATGGAGTTTGCAGTGAAAGATATTGGGTTGGAGTCACAGAGTGAACATCAACTACGAGATGCAGGTACATCCAACTGACGAGTCCCAGATGGGACGAAACGCGCGTCGAGGATTCCACTGCTAACCATTATCCATCTTTTCTTATAATATCTATTTTAATGTTTATATATTTGAGTCATATTTAATCAAAATGAATTGTTTAAACTTGTAATATGATTTTATCATTGTCCATTCGCTGTTTGAAATGGTTGTCAATTAAAGAAATGAAAATAATGTATATTGTAAAAATACTTTTTCCATCGTTAGTTTGATTAGATGGAAAACTTTTAAGAGGAAGTGGTTTTTCTAGTTCGTTTTATTGTCAGAGATTCATAAATATTCCTCAACAATAGTTTGTTTTTACAGCACATGATATTTCCTGAAATTGTTGTTGTTTTAAGAAGAATCAAATCAAAATGAACTATAGTGGAGTTGTAAGCAGAGTTAAGTGGTGGCTAACAGTCAATTCAAGGACGCGCATTTCATCCTATTTGAACTTATCAACTGGATGTACCTAGATCCTGAAGTTAGTCTTTACTGCTGAATTCAAACTCAGTACTGTTAGCTTCAAACGCTATTGTGTTATCTACATAGCTATTGAGTCTAGATTGCCTCTGATTTGTGCAATATGCATTGGTTGTTTGAATTTTCCCATTGATGTTTAGGACTGCAACTGACTATTCTCTTTAGGCATACATGCACTCTGTGCAGCTTGCTTCCATCTTGTTATTAAGTTTCGATGTAAACATAAACTCTCTGATGCAGATAAATCCAACTGAAGAGTTCAGAGTAGGAGGAAGCGCGTGTTCTGGTTCTCACTACTGGCCACCAACAAACTCAGCATATTATTCTTGTGAATAAATGATGATATCGAAGCAATCCTCACAGGATCCACACATACCAAAAGATACTGATCAATTGTAGTCGTAAACAATAATGGTAATATTCAAACAACCAATAAAAATGAATGGTTGAGTTGGTTGAAAACAATACACATTAGTAATTGTCAAGATCTATCATAACAATTAAAGTCACTATAAGCTGAAAGATATTACTTCCCACCTTCGTAACTATAAATATAAGTTTTATAGAGTTACTACATGTTTAATAATTAGGTATATTGTTAGTAACTTTGACAGTTGCTTATTATTTCTTTCTAATTACGGTCGTCAGTTCGTATGGGGATATCGTAGGAAGGTTAAACAACTGTAAATACTTTTTTTGAATACAAAAGATGCTCTTGTTATCTTTTGTTTTAATGACTTTTACTAAGTGTTATGGTCAACCTTTAATATGAATATAGAATACAACAAATAACTACATACACATTTTACCATAATTCATTGATACATTGAACTGATTGGTCACATTTATAGTTCCACCGAATTATTTTTCAGTTGTACATTTGATCACATCCAAAATATTTTTGAACTGTAAGGTACATGTTCAGAATAAATGGTTTGTAACTAGCAGTAAAGCCCAGAACGGATTTTTCATTCTAATTGGAACTAAGTCGTCAAGGAAATTCACCTGCATCTCACTGTTGATGTTCCCCGTGAAACTGTAACTCAGTACCAATTTTTTTAAAGAATAGCTTACTGTCTATTGATCAACTCAATCCGGATTATCACAGTCTTGTTCAACGAGTATGATGTTCATATCATTATTAGTATGAGTTTAAGTCATTTGGTTGTTGATATTCAGGAATAAATTTTGATTTGTCTTTGTTCGTACATGTGTGTCTTACGTAGATAGCCTCGAGGTAGCTGTAATGTTACAAGTTATTCAGAATAGCTGTATGTAATATAGATATACTGTTTAATTGATAGATAATATCTGTCACATTTTAATTCCGATAAATTACAGGACATTTATATATAGTTCTGTATAAATAGATTAATCATGTTTTTAAATATTTGAAGATAGCTCTGTCATAGAATATTGACAGGGAAATCATTAGAAATAGGTGAATTGTAACTTATGAAACTCTTATAGCGTTATGCACACATTACCTTACACCGGAGAAAACTAATATTTTAGTGACAACACTGTAAACTAAAAATTACGCGTCTTGACAGTCATTTTTCTAATGTTTATCATATAATAGATTGAGGACTAGGAATCACTGAACATGTGTTTTGTTTTACAGTGACATCTCTTAGCAGTGAGCGTCTACGACCCAAAAAGTAATTGAACTCAAAACATTTAGGTCTCGAAGGGAGTTGTTAAACTTTAAGTTGCTGAATCGTTTTATACTTCTAACTTCAGTCACCAAAAATCCCTTATACTAATAATTTGAACTCTACAAACAAAAGGGACTATCAGGTTAATTAAACGGAACCGAAATCAAGAGTGTTGATTCCAGTGACAGGAACAAATCTTTTAAGCTAATGATTTAAAAT